TTAGTGTTACAAATTCCTTTAGTTTTTGTTTGTCTGGGAAACTCTTTATTTTTCCTTGTATTTTGAATTACAGCCTTGCTGGATAAAGATTTATTGGCTATGTACTTTTTCAGTTTAGCACATTGAAAATATCCTGCCACTCCTTTCCGGACTGCCAAGTTTCTGTGGATAGGTCTGCTGCAAACCTAATCTGTCTCCCTTGTAGGTTAAGGGCTTTTTTTCCCTTGCTGCTTTCATGATTCTTTCCTTGCCTGAGTATTTTGTGAATTTGACAATGATATGTCTTGCCGACGGTTGGTTTTTGTTGCATCTAATGGGAGTTCTCTGTGCTTCCTGGATTTTGATGTCTGTGTCTTTCCCCAGGTTAGGAAAGTTTTTCTGCTATGATTTGATTACATAAACCTTCTACCCCTTTTTCTCTTTCTTCATCTTCTGGCATCCCTATGATTCAGATGTTATTCCTTTTTAATAAGTCACTGAGTTCTCTAAATCTTATATCGTGCTTTTTTGCCTTAGTCTCCCTCTGTTTTTTCTGCTTCATTATTCTGCATAAGTTTGTCCTCTATATCACTAATTTGCTGCTCTGCTTCATCCATCCTTGCCACCATGGCATTCATTTGAGATTGCATCTCAGTTATTGCATTTTTAATTTCTTCCTGACTAGATTTTACTTCTTTTATCTTTGCAGAAAGGGATCTATGCTGGTATTCTTACTATTGTGATCCTAAATTCTGATTCAGACATCTTACTTATATCTGTGTTGTTTAAGTCCCTGGCTGTCTCTGTTCTTTCTTTTAGGGTGAATTCTTTCATTTCATCATTTTGGAGGAAGAAAAAGATTAATAGAATAAAAAAATAAGTTAAAAAAAATTAAAAACAACACGAAAAAAATCAAATAAAGGAAGCTATATCCTAGGTGTGTTTTGATCGAGTTGTTGAAAGAAGCTTGGTAGAATAGAGATGAAAGGGAAAGAAAAGAAAAAAAGAGGAAAAAAAGAAAATGTTTAAAATTCTTAAAAAATGTATGCAATAAAATAGAATAAAATGGAATGAAGAAAGTAAAATAGACTTAAAAATTTGCAAAAAAAATAAAAAATATTAGAAATAAGAAAAATCTTTTTTATAAAAATGGAAAATAAAAATGAATTTCTTCCTTTTCTGTATCCAAGAATAAGAAAAAAAATGAATAAATGGACCATAAAACAGAATGATATCTGAGGGAAATTACATCCATTTCCCCTCCAGAAGTCAAACTATGAAGCACTTTATAGTCTGTACACTAAGTAGGGCGGGAGACTTGTAGTCGTCCTCTAGGGCTTGCTTGAGGCAGTTGGATGGGGCTTGGTGTAATGGCTCTGTTCTCCACTAGGCGGTGCTGCTTAGTTTACTAGGGTATATCTATGTGGCCGAGTACACATGTATGTGCATGCGTGGGAGGGGTGAAAAAGGCATCACCCATCTTCTCAGTCTCTAGCATCAGAACTCTGTGCTCTCGCCAATCGGCAATCAAGCACCCTTCATTTGTTTCCAGCTTCTGTCCACTTCCCACTTCTACACTGTCTGCAACCAACCTGTCAGCCTGTCAAGCAGCACCTACCTCCTGAATTTTATCTCAGATGGGGCTGTGTTTCCAAACCCCTTCTGAGGGCCCTGTGGCTTGGACCCAGTCTGACACTCTGGGGGAGGGCCTCATTGAGCAATGGCCAGGTGCTGACCCACCCCCAAAATGCTTATACGACTGTGTCATTGCAGAGGCCCGGAAACTGTGGTTGGGTTCCAGTCCACCCCTGAAAAATTTCACTTGATCATATAGCAGCAGTAGTTCAGGGACTATGGTAAATCACACATGTGGCACCAGGCTTCACTGCACCCTAGTGTCTTTGTTCCAACACCAGCAAACATGGCTGTAATCTGGGGTCCATTGGGACCATTTTCTGTGGGTAGGCTATAAGGCCTCTACCAAATGTCTTCCTGACAGGGGAACTGCCTCTCCCCATATGGGCCTCAGACCTTGCTGTATGCTCCTGGGGATTCACTGTACCCACCAGAGCCCCACCAGGTATTGAGCTACAGAGTTTCTGATGCTGTGCTTCTCTGCTTATAGAGTCCTAATGGTAATGAAACCTTCTCTTTTCTCCTTTTTCTTTTTCTTGTTCAGTTCCTTATGGGTGTTTCCACTCTTTCTTTCTCTCCAGCTGCTTTTGGGGGGAGGGCTTTTCCTATACTCTCCCCCCCTCACTCTGTCCTCTCTCTGCAAACAAAATATCTCCCTGCCCTCTGCAGCTTCTTTCCCCCAGTTCACCTCTCTGTGCTGCCTACCTGCTGAGTTCTGTGGCTCAAGTTATGCAGATTGTTGTGTTAGTCCTTAGATCAATTTTCTAGGTGTGCAAAATGGTATGGTGCTGATCTAGCTGCATTTCAGGGGTGAAAGAATCAGAGAATTTCCATGCTGCTCCGCCATCTTGGCCCCTACCTTCAATCTCGGGGAAGAGTTTTTCGTATGCAGTTCCCTCCACACACTTTCATTCTTTCTCTCTCTGTCACTTCTCTCTCCATTATCAGGGCTCCCTCCCATTTGCAGCACCCACAGCTCTTCTCTCCCTCAAGTCAACTCTCCACAGCTCCTGCCTTCCACAATGTGGTGTTTTTTTCACCTCCAGTTGTGCATTTTTGCTCTCTCAGTCCTCAGATCGATTTCCTGGGTGTTCAAAATGTTTTGATACTTATCTAGCTGTGTTTGAGGGAAGAGGCAAGCCTAGGGTCTCCCTCACTCCTCCATCTTAACTCCTTCCTGGGACATTTATTATTTAAATTTAGAATGAACTAAAATTTTGTTTGCTTTGAAATTGTAGTTATAACCCCTTAAGGTAATTGAATATGTTCAAAAACAGTGTAAATTATTGGTTTCTGGGTGAGTGGCAGTCTTTAAGCATCATATTTAGGTAACAATTTTCTGGTGATCTTTCATACTTTCATTTCTAATAAATCTACTGAATTATTTGTTGAGATACCAACTGCCTGAAAGACTAAGTCTAGACAAGGAAACCAAATGGTTTTTTCTCTCTAATTATCATTGTTTATGAGGTAACTTAGTGAATTATTAAGCAACTTCTGTGTTCTCTTGATTCTGATAGAGTTGTGCAAATGGTCTTTTGGACACTGGGTCCCAAGTGAATAAAATGATCAAACCAAGTCCACATATATCACCATTAACCTCATCAAAATAGTGTTTGGCCCTAAGTATAGTGTTCTAATTCTGCTTTTATACTTTCCCCACTTACTTTGGTTTCTCTTTTTATTTATTGACCCATTTCCTGAATATTACTAGGTATTTGACAAATAGAACTTAATATACATCAATAAAATTGTGACTTTAACATTTTTCAAGACTACTTAATAGAGATTATTTGTGCAATAATAATTTAACAGAATTAACTAGTCAAATGTCTAAGAAATGTAATTTTCAAATACAGACTTGCTCTCACTCTGCTTCAGCTTCTGAGTTATTTTCTAATGAATCTTTCCAATTGACTTTCTTTCTAATACTAAACCAGCTTATGTGATTTGTAAAATGGCAAAGGTTAGTTAAGAGTTCAATTGTATTGCTTTTTGTTTATTTAATATTTCAGTGGGAACTGTGTCATTTTATCAGAACTATTAGATAAACCATCAACATGAAATTATTACTCTGCAAACTGAAAATTTTCTTAATTTTGAGCAAGCTTGTTATGGCTGGCTAAAAGTAAGTACGTACATTAAGAGTTATATTTTCTTAAGGGAGGCCAGTGAATATGGAAATTTTTGTTTCTAGAGTCAAAATTTTTATTGCTGGAGACCAGCAGTACACCCTGAGTATATGCACCATTATAGGCCTATCAGGATACCAGCCACTCCATTTGTATGCTTTGATTTCAACTTGCCTCCTTTTCCATCAATGTCAATACAAATAGCCAGTGCTGGATGCAGAAGGCACCTACCCCCAACTTCCCCAGACACCCCATGGAGGACTGTGCCACTCTGTGAATATACTGACATGCCCACCTATGTCCCACTCTTTACTTGCTACCCATGACCTGGGAAGAAGGAGGGTGGGAGATTAATACAGGCCTCTGGGAAACCAGAAGGATTTTATGCCCACTCTTGTGATTTTAAATTTAGAATCATACCTTCTTTTTCTGGATCTCTTATCAGCAGCACCAGTATAAAACATTGGCATGCTGAGTAATATGGGATCCACACTATTTCAGGGTGTTTTCTTAGGGTCATTCTGAAGGCCACCTTCACCCTAAATATCTCCTTCAGCATCTTTGACAAAACAATTAAACTATGGCCTACCTTTACATGGCGCTCCACAGTTGACAGAGCCCTTTCACAGCATCATCCTGTCTAATCTTTATGAAGCTGTATTGTCCTGGTAGAGTAATTTTTTTTAATTAAAACATCTTTCGTAGGTTTATTGATCCATTACTTTCAGTTAATTGAGGTAAAGAAATCTTTTTAAATTTATAATAGTTTATCAAGCACTACAAAATTTTGTTTACCTAAAATGTAATACTAATCTCATAGTAAACAGTGGACAGAATATTTTTTACATAGATATATGAAAAAAGAGGACAAAAGCCTCAATCCAGTATCAAAAATGCAACAAAACATTTTTTTTCCCTTTTACAATCTGAGTTCCATAACAAAGAAAAAAACGGTGACTTTTTCCCCCCAAGTTTTTATTTAAATTTCCATTAACATATAGTGTAATATTAGTTTCAGGTGTAGAATGAAAAAGTTTGGTAGCTTCATGAAAGAAAGACTTTGATCTGTAAATAAATCACTTTCTCATCTACACACATTCTCGAGCACTTTTTTTTTGTGGCTTTTGATTTGGCTTCCTGGTAGTATGGACAGAAGAGAACACACACATGGGGATTTTATCAGTACCTCAGTTTTTTCTTTAAAAATTTTAAAAGTAAAGAATGATTTCTAAAAATAAGAAATATAGTCCATAATTTGGGCATGACCTAAGCAAAAATATTTAATCATTTTTCCATAGTTAAAATTTTCTGGCAATTTATTTCATGGAGATTTATCAAAAGTACATCATCTCTCAATGCATTCCCAGTGCACAGACATTAGGGGACAGTCCACAGTCAATGGTCCACCTCAGGGGTGTTTAGGGAAATTGTGCTGACTGTTAAGAGCTGCTGATTTGTTGTTCAACGAAAGCCCAGCTGACACAGGCATCATTTTATCACACTGATTCACATTTTGTTTGTAATCTACTTTCACCTCCCCATTTCTACACTGGTAAAAAAGTGATACCCCCTTTCTTCTTCCACTATCATCATGACTGAGGGGTTGGTCTGAACTGTGAACAGTCTGTCAAACAGGGGTGTTGAAGGTGTTATCTGCTCTGACCTGTCTTATAGGTAACCCAAAATCACCTGGTGAGGTGGGGGGGGGAGGTGCATGCACAGTGCTTCATCATTGGTTTGGATGGTGAAAGCTCTGTTACAATGGACCAAAGTATGTGAGTCAACATATAGATTTTAGATTTTGGCATTTCAACCTGTGGAGAATTTCTATCTGAAGCACGCAGCTTTGAGGCCCCCATAGTATCTTTTAAAAAGCTGTTCTGCAGAATTGGGATAAACCTTTAATGTTGTCATAATCTAGAGTTCTTTGTATTTGGGTGACCCGTTAATGCTGATACCATATGTCCTCTACAGTAAAAAGTGTGCCAAAGGCATTAAATTAATCTTTCAAACTTAAAAAAAAAAAAAAAGGTTTTGTGGTCCTTGTGTTTAGAATAATTTTTTTTAAAAAAGGATAAAATGGGCTCAGAGGAGTTGAGTAATTTCCAGTTATGGTCACAATTAAGTGGTAGATCACTTGCACTAAGTTTTAAGTCCTTTCCACAATATCAACAAATTGTAGACATGGAAGCAAATAACACTTTTGGAGAGAGACAACACCCCTTAAAGGAGTAAGCTTTTTGGCTTTTTATGTATATTTAGAGATAAAGCTTAAAATGCAAATCTTCCCTTGAGAGTGGGAAAGCATGAACAAATGAGTACCATAGGCTTTTACATATTCAAAAAATTGAATTCTAGAATTCTAGATTTAAGACGTGGCAGTTAATAGAAAAGTTCTAATTTAAAAATAATTTCTATAGAATACACATCTGTATATGCACATATATTTACTTAGAAAACATTTCTTTGGATGTTTGTGCCATTTCTTAGTTATATGTTGTGTCCATAGCTGTTTCATTCCCATCCCTACACTTCAAGCCGCCATATTACTTTTAAATTACCTTATGACTCATTTTCAGTTAATTATAATAATTAACTATTTAGCCAATAAAGCACTTTCGTGAGTAAAAAATACAGATTTTTGAATTTGGTTCTAGGAATAGTTCAATTTTCATATTTAATAAATCTCATATTTATCACATGTAGCATGAAATTGCTTCTGTTGTAAAAGAATAATTATATATCCATTGCCAACAGTATAAGAAGCAATAAATATACCTCCTTCTATCATATGAAAATATGTGACATTTCCCTAAAAAATTCCTTGAATTTAGAATATAGTTAATAATATGGTAACAACTTTGTGTGGTGACAGAAGGTAGCTAGACTTATCATTGTGATCACTTCCTAATGTAAATAAATGTTGAATCACTATGTTGTACATCTGAAGCTAATATAAGATTATACGAATAAAGAGAAAAAAATTCCCTGCATATAGAAATTCTAGACCTTCTCTACTTGTAAATCTAAGTGTATCCTTTCCCAGATGATAGCGTTTCCCCTAGGGCTTTGGTACATTTCATAAAAAGGAAAATATAGACAGTGGAAATAGAGGTAGAAATAGAAGAGTTCAAGTGTGGTAGCTCATCATGTGTATGCTGGGGGGCAAGTGTAATAAGGACCTGCTCCCCTGGGTTTCAGTGACTGAGGGTGGCAAAGATACAAGAAGTGCAAGAAATACCTACCTTTCCTCAATGGGAAGGATGCCACAATTCAACATGAGTAAAATGAGTAAGAAGGAAAGTTTACTGGACTCAACTATGCAGCTGATATTGCATTTAGCTCTCACTTGAATTTTAAACATTTGCTTGAAAAAGGATTTAAAAAAAAAGGTGGATTTCATTTCATTTTTTGCTTCTTTTGGAAAGCTCTCTTGTATAATTTATTGATTGCATTCCTGAAGAACAGAGTTAATGATGCAGTTTGGTTGATGGTTCCAGAAGGTGCAGGAGCCAAAAGACCTGCTCCAAAGGAAGGCATTTGTATGGTCTCAAAATGTTAGGATGGTGCGGAGGCTGAAACAGGAAATAAAACATGTTAATTGTTTTAGTATTTGGATAACCCACATGTTCCATCTGGGAGTCCAGGGAGCATTCAGCTTGGAAGAAAATGTAAGACTTCAGCATTTAAAAGAGCAGTCCCCTTTTCAATACAGGCACACCTCACTCTATTCCTCCTTTTTTTTTTTTTTTTTTTTTACACATTGAAGGTCTGTGGCAACCTTGTGTTGAGCAAGTCTACCAGTACTATTTTTCCAACAGCATTTGCTCACTTCATGTCTCTGTGTCACATTTTAGTAATTCTTACTATATTTCAAACTTTTTCATTGTTGTTATATTTGTTATGGTAATCTGTGCTCAGTGATCTTTCCCGTTATTATGTAATTGTTTTGGGGCTACCACTAATGTGCCCATGTAAGACGGTGAACTTAATCGATACATATGGTATGTGTTCTGACTACGACTGGCATTCCCCTGTCTCTGTCTTTCCTGGGTCTCCCTATTTTCTGAGACACAATGATATTGAAATCATGCCAATTAATAACACTACAATGATCTCTAAGTGTTCTAGTGAAAGGAAGAACCAAAGGATATGGCAAACTATTGTTGTCTTATTTATTTATTTATTTATTTATTTATTTATTTATTTATTTATAAATAATATAATTTATTGTCAAACTGGCTAACCAACAGTGTGTACAGTGCACTGTTGCTTTTGGGGGTAGATTCCTGTGGTTCATCGCTTACATACAACACCCAGTTATTGCTGTCTTATTTTAAGAAATTGCCATAGTCACCCCAAACCTGAGCAACCCCCGCCCCGATTAGTCAGCAACCAGCAACACTGAGGCAAGACTTTCACCAGCAAAAAGGTTACAACTCACTGAAAGCTCAGATGATGGTTTGCATTTTTTTGCAACACAATATTTTTTATGTTTATTTATTTTGAGAGAGAGAGGGTGAGAGAGCATGAGTGGGGGAGGGGCATAGAGAGAGGGAGAGAGAGAATCTCTGATGCAGGGCTTGATCCTGTGAACCATGAGATCATGACCTGAGACGAAATCAAGAGCTGGATGCTTAACCAACTGAGCACCCAGGTGCCCCGGCAACATAATATTTTTTTAATCAAGGTATGTACATTACTTTTTCAGACATAATGCTATTACACACTAGACTACAGTATAGTGTAAAAATAACTCTTTATATGCACTGGAAAAGCAAAAACTTTGTTTGACTTGCTTTACTGCAATATTCCTTTTATTGGAATTGAGCCCACAGTATCTCTAAGGTATGCCTATAATTTTTATTTGTGAAAACTTCTTTGTAAACTGAAAAAAAATTTTTTTAAATTTTTAATGAAAAAAATTAGTGATATCTGTATAGAAAAAAATCCCAAGGTAACTCCAATTCCTTCCATAATGAGTAGGTCCTTAATACAATTTAAATTTATAGCCATTAATGGTAACCCTTTTTAGGTGGCCAGAAAGAGGCTGCAGTGACTCCATATTATAATTAAGACTCTGTGACTCTGAATCTTTTTCTTTGCAAGGGTGACTGTTCTCTTGTAAATAAAGCTGGGGTGGCTCTGATCATTTAGATTTACTGTAACCAAAATAGTTGGGTTTCAGTAGAACAGGAAGTGCAAAGCAACTATTTTAGTTTCTCACAATATGATGTAAAATGTTCTACATCCTAAGACTGAACTACTAATGGAGAACCAAGGCACTCCAATGTTTTTTTCATTCTTTCACCTTCTTTCTCTATTGGCCAACACCTACAATAAAAAAGAAATTTAATACCTACCTTTTTCCAGCACGAAGCAGGTCAAATCCTTCATTTATTTTTTCAAGAGGCAAAACATGGGTTATTAATGGATCAAGTGAGAACTTCTTAGCCATAAAATCAGCCACAAGTTTAGGGACAGAATCTTTACTCTTAAAGCCTGAAAAGAAAATAACATCCTTGTAAGATTCAGCCATGGGTTAAGAGGAGAATTGGAGAGGAGGCTTTCCAGGTAGAATTGAAATGAAAGTTTATAGAAAGTGCTACATCCCACAGACTACAATTACTGAGGTTAATAACAGATAGTGTTTCAGTATCCTTTTCCATGGTTAGACTTTTTAAAAATCCACCTAGATAAAGTAGGGTCCTTAATTATTAGTTCTCTCATAGAGAAATTATACTATGGGTGGTTATTCCCTTAGGGAGCAAATTTAGCAGTTACCTAAATTTAGGCAATGACAGCACACATGAATGACTGCTATGGATTTCCTGGGTCCTATGAGGTATTTCACTGCCTTATACAGTCATGAGTATAAAAGAAGTGGGACTGAGAGATTCTAGTTTATTAATGGGGACACTAAAAAGTGTGTCTTGGAACCTTCTGTGTGCATCCTTATATCCATATCTAGTTCATTTAACCATGTTGCTTTAAAAAAAATTTTTTTTAATGTTTATTTTTAAGAGAGAGAGACAGAGACAGAGTGCAAGCAGGGGAGGGGCAGAGGGAGAGAGAGAGGGAGACACAGAATCTGAAGCAGGCTCAGGCTCTGCGCTGTCAGCACAGAGCCCGACGTGGGTCTTGAACTCACAAACCATGAGATCACAACCTGAGCCTAAGTCAGATGCTTAACTGAATGAGCCACCCAGGCACCCCTAACCACGTTGCTTTTTAAAAACTGGCTTTGTCACTTGTAAAAGGGAAGAACTCTTGAGGTTCATAAGAATTTAGCCATCAAGCCTAACTACATACCACCAAAAACTGCTCCTTTCCAGGTACGTCCGCCCAATAGCAACATGGGGTTCATAGAGATATTTTGAGAATAAGGAGCTACTCCTACGATGACGCTTACACCATATGACTCTTGGCAGCAGGACAAGGCAGCCACCTGGAATAAAATTAATATTTAGCATCATTAAAGTGAATTTTCTGATAGTCCACACTCATGGTGCATGGTATCATGTAATACTGATTTAGCTAGATTGTGAGTGTGTGCAGGAAAGAGATTATGGCTTTTGCTTCTTCATTCCCCACTGTGCCTAGGATAGTGTTGTGGTTTTAGGAAATGCTCAGAAAAAAATTTTTAATGAAACAGTGGATGAATGAATCTGTTGTATATGCTTAATTCTTCCTTATAAAATAATAGAGGCAAACATCATCACAAACATATCTACCTATTTATTTTAAGTAGCTATTTTGAACTCAGTACTTGAATCAGGTGTTTTGATGGCAAACAAGATGTTAAGGTCAATTACATCATCAAAATTGGTCTGTTTGTCTACTTGATGGTCTTCTGGAACTTCAAAAGAAAGCTTCTTCATTGAGCCAAGTTTTTAATCATATTCCACAGTAAGAGAATTGTTGAGGATTCTCTAGCAATATATAATGGTTAACCCTTTGATTTTGGAGTATGATGTTTAGAAGACCAGATAACCTCAGAACATGTGGCTATTGGATATTTGGTACCTTCAAGTGAAGTAGCAATCTAATTTCACAGGAGAAAATAGAGGGAAAACAACAGAAAAAGGGCATAAGGAGAAAAGCTATAGCCTTGGAACTTTAGTCATCTGAAGTTAGTATATTGTCTCAAGTCAAGGCTACAAAGAGCTTTATTCTTAGGGTGGTTCCTCATGTTACCATTACTATTAGGATTTACTGGAGAACCTCAAAAGGGGGATTTGTTGGTTTCTGGGGACTTTCTTTCAGTAAGATTCTAGGGAGTTCTGGGTAGGCGGGATATATATAACTGGAGATGTATTCCTCCTTGCAATTGATGGTATTTATCATTGAAAGTAATGTTATGTATATTCCAAAGATGATATAAACACTGCAAGATCAGAAACAGCACTGCATATCAGTAACACTAGCTAACATTTACTGAGCTTGCCATCTGACAGGTCGTGCTGTGCTAAGTATTTTACATGCATTATCTCATGTAATTTATAAACAGTGCTGTGAGATATAGATCTCTTAAATTTTTTTGGTGGAAAAAATTGTTGAGTTTCTAAGGTATTCAACCCAACACATAGTTACTGGGTGCTTACTATGTGCCAGGATCTGTGTTCTCTGCTGTGGCAAAATAAGGCAGCATGGTAAATGGAAAAATGCAATATTTTCTGTTAATAAAATGATACTGGTCTAAAATTGGCCATTATTCCTCTGGCCAAAGTATGATATATGAAAGAAAATGGAAGTTTCTTAAAATGTAAAATATTGATAAACCATTTCATTATGAATGTGAGGAAGAAATCAAACTTGACAATTTGAAAACAATTTATATTACCCATATTTACTTGTTTGAAATTTTTTTTACCAAAAATTAACAAAGTAAAATTATAGTGGTTTAATTTTATAAAAACCCTCTTTCCTCTCGAAAGGAGACATATTACTTGAGACAGATTTGCTGAGCTGATGGAATTAAAGATTTCTCATAATCATAAGTAGAATAACCCAGATAACCAACAGGATATGGAAAATCACCTTAGTTTTAAAAATATTATTTATATATAATATTTATATTGTACTGCCTCAAAGTATACTATGAAATATAGAAGCAGATATCTCAAGGCATTTCATGTTACATACCATGGTGTCAAGCCGCCCAATGACTTCAAATGAAAAATCCACACCGCCACCACTCATCTCTTTTAGCACCTCCTGGATTGGTTTCTTGTAGTCCTGAGGGCTGATGCACTCAGTGGCACCCACCTCTTTGGCCTTTGCAAATTTGTCTTTGTTGATGTCCACCCCAATAATCCTGGACGCTCCTGCTGTTTTACAGCCTATGATAACAGACAGACCGACCCCTCCAAGGCCAAACACGGCACAGGTGGAGCCCTGGGTGACCTGTGTTTTCAGAAAATGCAAAAATGGATTAAATAATGATTGCCACTGGGGCACCTGGGTGGCTCAATAGGTGAAGCATCTGACTTCAGCTCAGGTCATGATCTCGCTGTTCGTGAGTTTGAATCCCACGTTGGGATTTGTGCTGACAGCTCAGAGCCTGGAGCCTGCTTTGGATTCTGTGTCTCCCTCTCTCTGTCCCTCCCCTGCTTGTACTCTGTCTTTCTCTCTCAAAAATAATCATTAAAAAAATAAAAATAAATGATTGCTAGAAAATGCCTAAGCTATATAAAGTGCTATGCCTTTTCTGTTATGAGGAGCTGTTTGAACTCTTACTGGACGTCCAGCCTTCTGCCAAATCTCTTTTGGCTTCAGTTGCTTCATGTTTAAATTGAGGTGGTTGAACAAGATGAGTGGTTCTCAAACTTTGCTGGACATTAGACTCACCTGGGGAGCTTCAAAACATCTCAATGCCTAGGTCACAGCTTATAACCAATTCCATCAGAATTGTCACCGAGTCCCCAGGTGACTCCAATGAGAAACTCAGGCTGGGAGCCAGTGCCCTAAATGCCAGTGACTCCCGTCTTGAATCGAATCTAGTAACTCAAATCTATCAACAGTTTTAGTATATCAAACACAGAAATGCAAAGTTTTGGGAAATGAAATAATAAGTGGAAAAGATTATTCTGGGAGACTGAAAAATAATTCAGTGAAACCTTCAATAATTAAGTATTTGTTTCATTAACTTTCAGCATCATGACCAGTATCATGAGAGCATAAATTATCTGTGAAATATAGAAGAGTTAACCTTAGTTTAGAGGAAAGCCCAAGAACAGGGGAAATTTAACAGATAACTAAGATAATATAGCTTGAGATCACTGTGATCTTATTGGGTCTTTATCCCTGCTTTAAAAAATATACTAATGAACAATAATGCAATGAAAAGTTGGTCTATATTTTATTAATGGTTGAAAATAATTATGAATGCTCTCAGTTTCTGCTCTGTGTCTAGGCTCAGCTAGACCATCTGTTTAAACAGATGATGCAGTTGCATAAGAGACTTAGTGCTAGAGCCACAGAATTTGGAAAACTCATGCTTTCAATTGTTTTGGTTGGCTAGGGACTGTTTAGCAAACCTAGTCTGCTGTAATCAGCTTTCAGTGTGGCTGTTGATTTCTCCTATCCCAAGTAACTATACTCTGGGATACAACACCACTTTTTACCTTACTTAGAAAAATTTGAGACTTGTAATTGTGATCTAAAGATGAAGGTAATTATGTATCCTGGTTTAAGATTCAGCAGGAATTTTGAGAGATAGGCCAATCACAATTCTCATACTAACCAGCTGTGAGATGTTGGGCAAATAGCTTTATGTCTCCGGGTTTCCATTTCACAAAATGAAGGAATACTGCTAGATTTCCAGACTTTTGGGAAGAGGAATTTCTGTTTAAAGAATTTCTCTTTAAAATCTACCACCTCTGAACTGTGTGTATATACATGTGTGTGCAGGAGATGAGATGTAGCAGTGAAATCCCCTAATGACTGGATTAATGCAAAGTGCATTACTGAAGCTTTATTACTTCCTTTGTAGGGATCCACAGAGTGGGTGGGTTGGTAACTCTTGGTTTGGAGGTGCACTATATAAGGCTTTGGAATCTACTGTTCATCCCAATTCTGAGAGTAAAAGATCCATGGACTAGATGCTAGTCAGAGGTGATCTCTTCATATTATTTACTGTTGTTGCCTCTAAAGTTAGCAGAACCTACTATGCCTGATGCATGTTGGTGTTAACAGTACAATATATTACTAAATGAGATCCCAGCTCTAAAATTTAGTAATCACATAAAGAACAATTGTAGAATAATTATTGAAAATTACATCTTTACTTTTTCTTAACTAAGCGTCGATAGCATTTTCATCTGTGATAAATAAATTTTCTAGGATATGCTCCTCAATTCCTTCTGAGGCCATTTTTCCAGTCATAACTGATACCCTAAATTTTATCAATGTTATTGTGATAGCAGGAGGAAAATCTACCAGTAAATCTATGAAGAACTATCTCTGATTCCTGTGAGAAATTGCTCTCCTCTTGGTTCTTGATAGTCTGAGTGTAACTGGTTTTATCAACCATTGTCTTTCCTACCTTGGCAACTTTGACTGCAGACCCATAACCAGTAGAAAATCCGCAGCCAATGAGACAGACTTTCTCCAGTGGTGAGGCTTCATCAATCTTGGCCACTGAGATCTCATCCACCACTGTGTACTGGGAGAAGGTGCTGATGCCAAGGAAATGGTAAATGGGCTTCCCTCTGCAGGTGAATCTGATGGTACCATCCTGCATGGTCCCCCGAGGCATGTTCAGACTGGCCAGTGCAACACATAGACACACAAGGGCATGAGACAGTGGCATAACGGATGTGTAAATCCATTGCCTGTGTAAGGAGAGTATCAGAAACTTACTCGTTTTTCACGCAGAAGTTGCCTTCTGGGTGTTTACAAACATTGCATTTTCCACACTGGGGAGTAAAGAGTGGAATGACTTTGTCACCTGGAGGGTATAAAACAAATTCTTCTTAAATTTCTACCCAGGAATTAATACAGCAAGAACCGGAAGCTTATGCATATGTATTAGAGGTATGTGTCTTTGAAGTCTCCAAGAAATAGGGTTCACCACTATGTTGTTGGTCATTGCCAGCCAGCATTGTTATTGGTTTGGGTTTCCATGTGCCTGAAGATTCTCAAAGAGGAAATGCAAATATCAGAAACAACATAGATTTAAAAAATATTTCTGCCATATTAATAGTTATCTTTTATTGTGTGCCTTTATTCTTGAGAGTTTTATATATATCATTTAAGCCTTGATAATTAAATGTTCTCATGTAACTGTAAACATAAATTTTAGCTGTGAGCAGGCTGATATTCTTCCACTAGATGCCAGGGAAATCTGCTATTTTGTAATAGTTTGAAATAAAGTAAAAATGAGTATTTGAACAACCATTTCTTGGCTTTTCAAAGTGACTATGCTTTTAAGTTTGTTTGTTTTTAAGGAAAACTAACAAAAATGGGAAAAAGAAGAATTCAAGAAATCCCTTTGTAAACCTCATCAATGAGTTAGGCACTTTCTTAAAGGATAAAAACTGACTTTCAAATGTTTGTGGCTGATAACTTAATTTGTAAATTATCTATTTTTTCTGCTATGATTAAGGGATCAGGGTGAAAAGTAAGGGTGTTGTTTATTATTAATTAGTTTTCCCCCCACTGGTGAACTCTACCAAAAATTTATTTTTTATTTTTTAAATATAATTTATTGTCAAGTTGACTAACATGCAGTGTACACAATGTGTTCTTGGTTTGGGGGATAGATTCCTGTGATTCATCATTTACATACAACACCCAGTGCTCATCCCAACAAGTGCCCTCCTCAATGCCCATCATCCATTTATTAATTTATTTCTGAGTAAAGGAAATATTAAGAGCTGAAACACAAACCAGACAATTGGCCTGTTCACAGGTCAATTAAGTATTTGGTAATGGGGGAGGCCAAATCCATTGGTAAAGTGATTTTTTTAGAATTAGACAAAATTTTCATTTTTAATCACCTATGCTACCTAGCCACAAGACCTAGAAAAATGGTCAGGCCATAACATCTAATTGACAAATTTCTATGCCTATCATCTCCATATAAAATTTTCTATCTATTCACCCTTCAAAAATATTTATCTATATTAATATAAAATTAGAATAAAATATATATTAAAGATAAAATAGTACTTTGTCACCAGTCACACTTAACCATGGTTAAAGGTAATAACACAGATATTGTTTATGGTAGGGTGTCTTCTGCTAGGTCTATTTCTTTCCCTTCCATCTAGTCTGTTTTGTTCATTTAATGTTCAAGAAGGGAGGCCATACTGGAAGAGGAAATCAGTGAATGAGTCTCTTCCCACCTAAGAGTAGGTCATGTAGATTCAGTTAAAGCCTCATGGCCCCCATCCTGTGAAATCAGTACACAACAGTTTCCATATAGTGATGTGGAGGTTCAGGACATAGACTTTTGTCTTCTTATTTTGTCCCATTTGTAGGTCTCTTTGGACCTGACAGAACATAGTACTCAGCAACACTCAAATGGAAATTATTTGTTTATGAACTCTAACCTTGGCAGTCACTGCATCTCACTTGATCTTTATGTGTTCCCGGGATCTAACCCAGTGCCTGGCATCTAATAGGCACTTGCTAAAGGAGAGAAAACATGATTGCATGAATGCACACATGTCTGAGTCAGGCAAGGGAGGGAAGAAAGGAGGAGACCTATGTTCTAGTCCCAGCTCAGCCATGACCTTCTGCAAGGTCTTTCCAGGCTGCATGATCTTGGTCTTGAACTGTGAATTCCCGAAGTGTGAATTCTGTACCTGGTTTTACTGTCGTCACACCTTCTCCAACACTTTCCACAATGCCAGCTGCCTCATGGCCTAAGATCGCAGGGAGAGGCGTGATAATTGTTCCACTAACCACATGGTCATCTGAACGACAGATTCCTGTGGCCACCATCTACATGGGAAAGGGAGGATGATTAGATACAGAAAAGAATAGGACACTTATCTTTTCCTCATCAAACAATTTGGAATAGTCTGTGAAACATTTTTTTTTCTGAAATAAAGTCTTAATATACAAGAATGTATCCTTTTTATAGAAGTAGAAATTGCAGATTAGCACTAGGAAAGTTGTCACTCAAATTCTACCAGCTGATGCTAATTGATGTTGAAATCTTGATGTACATCCCTTTACACTTTTTTCCTGTAGAAACATGTAAATTATTTTTTATTTTATTGGGATTAGACTGTATATACCCTGGTTCCTTTTTAAAAACTTAACAACTTGTACTTGTATCTTTCTTGACGGTAAGTGTTTGGATCACCATATAGAAAGTGCCTTTTAATGGATTTTTGCTTATTTCCACTTTTACCATTTTTGGAGCCTAAAATTAAAAAACTGGAAAAAATGTTTCACCTTAATACGAACTTCATGGGCCTTAGGGGGTGCAACCTCCACCTCCTCAATGGAAAAGGGTTTCTTTAACTCCCACAGCACAGCTGCTTTGCATTTGATCACCTGGAAATTGAATAGAAAGATGCTACTAGTTTTTCCCCATTCTTAAAGTCAGGTATAGTGACTTTCATCTTTTTACGTGCAACATGTTCCCCCATGTCTGGAACCTAAAGTGTCCCATAGAAATGAAGGAAGGACCTCTGATTTACAAAGAGAATAAAAATACCTTTTTAAAAAACAGGCAAAGCAATCGCACAAGGAAAGAGAAACAGGATTAACTGTAATGAGACATTGAGATAAAATGGAATATATTCTTTCAGGCCATCTTCATGTTGTTTTTTGTTTGCCAAGGGTTGTTTATTCCTGATATTTCCTAATGTCCTTAACTCGGTTGTTTACCCGCGACTGTTGGCTGGTGTGTGAAATTCTAAATCAACATAATTTTGCTGACAGGTTTAGTGCTGTTCACATAAAAGCTATTGCCCTCTTGCTCAATTCTCTGCTGAAGCCCAAATAATCTAACTTTATGATTTCGGTTGCACATTTGCCTCCCTACCTAGGATGAGTTTTTTTTTTTTTTTTTTTTTTTTCTCTATTTGCCTGTTCTCTTCCCTTGACTTTGTTTTCCTTACTGCTTGTGGTTGCTACTTGCTTGCATCACTCATTTGAAAGTTAGCTTTGGCAGTGCTGTTTTGTTGTCTGATTTATGTGTAGAAATTCCTTCCAGATTAGATTTGCAACAAAAATTGAAGAGGTTATAGCTGTATACGCACACTCACACACACCTATGTACACATGTACGTATATATTTGAAAATGGGAGAATGGTGTGCTTGAATTTCTAGCTAGCACAGTTTACCCATCGGGGTTCTTAAAAATAAAAGTTGAAAACATATTTTTAGTGGTTGGGATTATAATATAAAGCTGTCTTCATTGTTGCAAATCTTACAAAATTAAGGGAGTTTTCTCCTAGAAAGAATTGACTTAATTGCAAATATGATAAAAAATTTTTCAATACAGATTTATCCTTTTGACAATTTATTTTCATGTTAAATCCCCTCCCAGTTTTCGAGGTGTTTGCCTGGGTCAATGCCACAATAGATATGAAAATTCTTGGAAATAATACGCTAAGGGTAGATAAGTCCTGACTACAAGGTCCTGTCCTGGGTGAATTACATACTTGATCTTTAAACCTCACAATGATGTTACCAGGGCAGTATTATTGAATTATTGGTCTTATTTTACAGATGAAAAGATTGAGGCTCAATGGACTCCATAATTGACCAATTTTCCCAAAGTCACAAAGTTGGCTGTCCAGAGAATTAAGATCAATGCAACTTTATTTTTTTACTACTCCATGGTAGTGAAAAGAGATTAAATAATAATAGCAGCAACAATGTAACAGCAGTGACTAACATTTGTTGAATTATTTCTTTTTACAATCTTTTTTTTAAGTTTATTTATTTTTGAGAGAGAGAGAAAGAGACAGACAGAGCATGAGTAGGGGAGGGGCAGAGAGAGAGGTAGACACAGAAACCGAAGCAGGCTCCAGGCTCCGAGCTGTCAGCACAGAGCCTGATGTGGGGCTCGAACTCACAGACTGTGAGATCATGATCTGAGCTGAAATCGGACACTCAACCAACTGAGCCACCCAGGCGCCCCTGTTGAATTATTTCTATGTACCAGGCACTGATACAAGTGTATTACAGTATTTATTTATTAAATTCTCACACCACCTTATAAAATGGTATTATTATTGCCATTTAGCATTTGAGGAGACTATCATGCAGGAAGGGTAAACAGAAATGGGTGTTATCACAAAGCTAAAAGTGATTAATGCTGCACCCAAAGGGGGAAGATTTATTGTTTTCATTAATACATTTGGTTTGCACATTTGCTCTCTGAACTCCTTTTAAGCTTAGTTTTGGCATATTTAATTGTTCTTTTTCCTAACCTTCATTTGAAATGTAACTTGCCGTTGTAAATACTAACCAGTAATGAATTAAAATAAAGAGATTTGGAATAAGAAAACTGACAACTGGCGATCCATGTGGTTTCCAACCAATCTAATTGATATAGGAGTGTTGTGTCACACAGTGTGTGTAGAAACCTTGGAATCTTTAAGTTATCATAGCAAGATAGTGTATGGTGTGATCCACTCCTAACATAACACATGTCCTAGAAACAGTTGCATAGACTTTTGTAATTGAGCTAGGTTGAACAATGTGAGTTGCTTGTATTGAATGACCACATGCGTTTCTGTGCACCTGTAAGCACGTTGAACAAATGAGCATGAATCCATGGAAGACTTAGAACTGATTATCTCTGTTCTCAGTGCTAATAAGTGATTCAAACTGTATCACTATTATTTTTATTTTGTAAAACCATGTTGACTTTTGTGTGGAGAAGATACTGTTCCACAGGATTTCTATGGAAATTTCCTGGATTATGCACAGTAGGGCCCTTGTAATTCAGAATTTGCATGTTGATGCTGGCTTGCTTATTAATCTTGATCTAAAGTTTTGAAATCAGTGTGCCTTTTGTAAGAGATTTTATAGTAAGGTTCAAAGTATATCTCAAAGTCCTCTGAATCAAATTCCTCTCATAAAACTTTTGTCAGATCTAACTTTCCTGTGTTCCCAAAAAGAATATGATTACAAAAAACATTTAAATTATGTTTTTTTATTATAAAGAAAACTCCTTGATTAAAAACATAGAATGTTAGATTTACAAATCTATTTATGATTGACTATAACTACTGCACATGTATTCAATACAGGAAGTAAAGATTTTATTAAGTACAGATACTATGCATTCTTGATAAAGATATTTAGGAATAGCCTATTTTTAACTGCAGTTTAATATACATTGCATATTGAAGCACACACTCTGTTTTGTATTTCAGTACACATTGTTTCTAATTTATATATGCATTTTAAATTATTCATTAATACTATATCTTTGTGAATTATATAGTAAGAATATATTTCCAAAAGTAGAAACAAAATTTTTTTTGCTTACTTTTCCTGCTGTGCTCATCGTTGCGTTTTCTCTGCAGACCAGGAGACTGGTGAATTCTTATAGACTCTTTTCTGTTTGAGTAGATAAAGGTGATATGTTATACAGATATTTTGTTTGCTTGAGTAACTGCCCATTCCACACATGTGATCTGGGGTCTTTAAGCCACACCTATCAGCTTTTTCTCAAGCCAAGTCAAATCAGGAAGAAAAGCGCACTGAGCCAGCATCCAAACCTTTGACTTTGCACCTTGCCAATTTCAGTTAATATATTGGGTTCGTTAGGTAAACTATGTCCCTACACCTAAATTTTAATCTCGCTCTCTTTTTTTCCTAGATTGCACATTTCTTCTCTTTCCATCCCACATAGGGTGTTCGGAGTTGTTTGCCCTTCATGTGAGCTAATCTCCAACTTCTAGTCCATTTGTTGCAGTTCGAAAAGAGGAGTAAGGAAGCAGCACAAATGATATTGACAGAGAGTGCTCTGAGCCAGAGGAATAGGTTTGATTTAGCACTCTTTTCATAGAAGGGAAGTTGGACAACAATGAGTCACAGCACAGACACTCACCTCTACCTGTCATAACAGGGAGTTTGGAGCAGTGGTTATGGCATGGCAGACCCTATGCTTACTAGCTGTGCGCAGTTGGATTTATTATTTATCTGTCTTTGGCCTTAATTTTCTTACCTATAAAATGAGGATGACTGTTGGTACCCCCTCGAGGAGTTGTTTGAGGAAAACTGAGATAATCCTTTTAAAGTACTTCTCAGGGCGCCTGACAAATAGGACAACCTTCAGTGAATATTAGCTACTCACTAAGGTTTCAGTGCTGACAACCTTACTTTCTTTTTGTTATCCCAGCCCTCTAGGGGCTGAATGTTAATGTTCTCTGTGGCCTAACATGCCTTTTGTGATCTTTCAGCTTTTCAACAATTGTGCAGCCAGTTTTCGGTAATAAATCTACTTTGTTTGAAATACAGAGTTTTCTGTTTTCCTAACTGGACACTGATACAGTTCTTGGCACCAAAAGTGCTCCCAGAAGCATACTGTCTAGCAAACCATAGTATTACACAGACTGAGTTAATTTACCCAGACTGAGTCTTTTTAATGGTTACCATGTGCTGACATAGAAAGCACTGGAATGAGTATATTAAAGGGGGTTGAGAAGAAAGGAAAAGAATCCAGAATAATCAACAGAAGAGAAACCAATAGATGACTAACAGGACCTGCTTGCTCTTTTCCATTATAGATTTCATGTAGGCCTGATCTGCCTCGGTTTGCACACTGCCCATTATGTTTTCAAGTAGAAGTTTTCCAGAGCACTTTGAAGACGTTTGAAGTTTTGTACCTTTCGAATCCCTGTATGATACAGTCACTGAAAATGTTATGCTCAGCCATATATGCCTATTTGCATGATGCTACAAAACTTGTTTTAGAATTTTCATTCATTTTGTATTTTAAGAGTCCTAGAATATAAACAATTCTTTTGTGTTCATCACTTTTCCAGTTTTTGATTTTTCATTTTCATTTTTACCAAAATTATATGTGCATATACATATGCAAAACTTTTTTCTACAAAGCCTCCTAAGAAAAGCAGCTGTACTTGCTTTCCTGCTTTTTCCTACATTTACTCTTCCCTACAAGCCACTGCTGTCAACTTTTGAAACTTATTATTTTGTTTTTTTATTTCCACATCTCCAAGTAGCATGCATATATTACTAACTTGGTTTTGCTTTGGACATTCCTATTAACTTTCCATTTGGGAGGATGAAAATTTGGGGCAGTCATTACCACAAAAATGCTCTACTTCTGGGGGTGGAGAGAGTGAGGAGGAAGAGGAGGGGGGCCATCCCACAATACCAGGCGGGAGGGCACTAGGTGGTTTGTATCTGGGCTGTGAGGTGCTCGGTGCCTCGGAGGTTGCTGCTTCTGTCTCTTTAATGCGAGAGGAAGCAATGCAGTGGAATTGGTGGAAACTGGCAGAGCTGTAGATGTTACTAGAGGAGGAGATCCCTCTGGTAAGACGGCACTGATGGAGAGTTACCAGAATCTGAGCCGGGTGGCGGACTACTGTGAAAACAACTACATACAGGCTGCAGACAAGAGCAAAGCTTTAGAAGAGTACAAAGCCTACACAACCCAATCCATAGCTAGACTTGCTTCTCAAATAAATGCACTGGCCAACAATGTACTCTAGTTGCTGGATATCCAAACCTCCCAGCTTTGGAGAATGGAGTCTTCCACCAATCATATGTCACAGACCGTGGACATTCATAAAGAGAAAGTGTCTTGAAGAGACATTGGCATTTTGACAACAAATAAGAATACACCAAGAACTCACAAAATAATAGCACCTGCACATATGGAGCGCTCTGTAAGGTGTATTCAGAAACCTATTGACTATACAGTTCTGGATGTTGTGGGCCGTGGTGTCAAGCATGGAAATACCCAGCCTGCAAGAACTGGCGCACTGTCCAGAACAAATCTTCCTACTCAGAAACCTCCAAGCCCTCCCATGTCAGGCCGGGGAACACTGGGACAAAATACTCCTTACAAAACCCTGGAACCTGTTAAACCCCCAGCAGTTCCTAATGACTACATGATAAGTCCTGCTAGGCTCAGAAGTCAGCATAGTCCAGGCAGGACGGCTTCTTTACACCAGACACCGAGGACACACAGTAGAAGTAGTGGGGGGAGTAGAAGTCGAGAAAACAGTGGAAGCAGCACTATTGGCATCCCCATTGCCATGCCTATATTTCACCACCCACTATTGGACCAGCAACCACAGGCTCAGGTCCCAGTTCCCAGTACGGCACAATGACCAGGCAGATTTCTCGACACAACTTGACCACTTCCTCGATGTCTTCTGGTGGATACAGACGAACTCCCTCTTTGCTCAGTTTTCTGCTCCTCAGCCTCCTGTTAACGGAGGTCCACTTTATTCTCAGAATTCAATTTCTGTTGCTCTCACCCCTCCCCCTATGCCTCAGTTGACTCCACAGATAACCTTTCACAGGCTTCGTGGCCAGGATGTAGGAAAGCATTGCTGATAGTCCAACTCCACCACCACCACCTCTCCCAGATGACATTCCCATGTTTGATGAGTCTCCGCCTCTGCCACCACCCCCAGTGGATTATGAGGATGAAGAGTCTGCAGTAGTTCAGTATAATGATCCACATGCAGATGGGGATCCTGCTTGGGTCCCAAGAATTATATGGAGAAAGTTGTGGCACTATATGATTATATGAAAAACAAGGACGATGAGCTATCATTTATGGAGGGTGCAATCATTTATGTGATAAAGAAGAATGACGATGGCTGGTATGAAGGAGTCTGCAATCAAGTGACTGGTCTGTTCCCTGGGAACTGTGTTGAATCAATCATGCGCTATGCTGATTACATTTTTACTTTTAAAGCAGGTTCTTCTTATTAGTCATACTGTGGGATTATTATGGTTAACAGAATTGTCTTAAAATATTTTCAAACGTGCCCATATTTTCAGGACATGCTGTTTTATTGGTATAATTAAATGTCTACCTGTAAGCATAAGTCTTTGAGGCAGTTTGTGTATTGCTAATCAGCAATTAATACAGGAGGCTGTCCATCCCTGATAATGCTTATGTACTTACTTACACAGTTAACTTTATGACCAGCCTAAGTATTCTGGGGGAGTGGTGTAGAATATTTAACAAATCATGATTCAGACTGTACCATTACATGTTTCCATGCAGCATGGTTACTAACGCTATGTCAGACTAATATTAAAACCAGAAAACTACAATCCTCGTGCTGGTCATACTTTCTGTTTAGATTTTCTCATTCTTGAAATATACTGTTTGTTTAAAGCATGCATACAAATTTATGTATTGAAATATACGTAAAAAATCCAGGATGCTTCTAATTTGTGTAATACTTACTTGGAGTACTCGTACTTAGGTCTCATGAAATGAATTGAGTCCCTAAGCTCTCTATGTGCATGTGGAACAAAACAAAGGGTTATCTGTAATGTTGTAATTTGTACCTAAGTTTTTTAATGGGTGAATTTGTGTTATAAATTTTTTCCATTCATAAATACATAAATGAACCAAAGATTTTTGTCCTTTCCCTCACTGGTTTGCTTATAAAATAAATGAGTAAATTTAAAAAATATTCTACTTCTCTCTTGTTTCCCGAAAGAGTAATAGAATAATTTGTTATAAGGACTATGTAAATGTTACATATAGGTGAGCCATTTAGTTTGCAGTGGTTTTGTTTTTTTTTTTTCCCTCTACCTAAACAATTCTGTTTTTCCTAGGATTTAATTTTTTTTTTTTTTTTTTTTTTTTTTTTTTTTTTTTTTAACTAGCTTAGTAGGGCACTTGGATGGATCAGTTGGTTAAGAGTCTGACTCTTGGTTTTGGCTCAGGTCATGATCTCGTAGTTTTGTGAGTTTGAACCCCACATCAAGGTCTGTGTTGACAGTGCAGAGCCTGCTTGGGATTCTCTCTCTCTCCCTCTGTCTCTGCTCCTCCCCTGATCGTGCTATCTCTCTCTCTCTCCAAACTAAATAAACTTTTAAAAAATTTATAGGGGCATCTGGGTGGCTCAGTTGGTTGAGCGTCTGACTTTGGCTCAGGTCATGATCTCAGGGTTCGTGGGTTCAAGCCCTGCGTCAGGCTCTGTGCTGACAGCTCAGAGCCTGGAGCCTGCTTCGGATTCTGTGTCTCCCTCTCTCTGCCTCTCCCCCGCTCATATTGTGTCTCTGTCAAAAATAAATATTAAAAATTTAAAAAGAATTTATAAAAAACTAGCTTGGTTTTGTCTTTATGCTTACATCTAATTCAATGCCCAAAGCATCTCCAGTTGTTTAGTTCTCCACTTAGGACAAATAGACACATCAAGTATCTCACCAGTTTTGTCTTTAGAGAAATCTTACTTGGAGTCTTTGACTTGCTCTAGAATGGCCTGGGTGTGCTCTGAATCTGGGGCAGCATGCTCTTTTGGATTCCTATGTCTGCTCTAACAAATTACCACCAACTGGGTGGCTTAAAACAATGGAGATTTATTTTGTCCCACTTCTGGAGGCCTAAAATCTGAAGTCCGTACCACTGGGCAGAAATCAAGTGTCAGCAGAGGTACTAAGAGAGAAGCCATTCCTTGCCTTTTCCAGCTTCTGGTGGCTGCCACATCCCCTGGCTTGTGGCCACACACTCCAAACCCCTTCCTTCCCTGCTCCTTTCTTCCCCCTCCTTCTTCGTGTTGTCTTTGGGAGCTTGTAGCATGTTCTGTTTATCCCTGGTAATCTGAAATTTTACAATGACCAGTTCTAGGTGGATGTATTTTTATCCATTTTACTGGCATTCCGTGGCTTTTAAAAAAGATGAGGGTTAACTTTAAAGTTCCAGAAAATTTACTTAAACTGTTTTATTAATGCTCTTCCTTCCCTACCCTTCCCACCCTACCTTCTCTGCTCTTTCATTCATTCTGGAACTCCTACTACTCAGATACTGAATGTTTTGATATACCACTCTCATTTTCTGTCCCATGCCCCTTTTTCCTTTTTTCCATCTCTTTGTGTTTGTGCTCCCTCCAGCTTCAAATATCCTCTTGAAATGAAGGCACAGTTGGCATAGTCAGGGTTTGCAGGGCATGACGCGATCCTCCTGGGGGTTGGGAGTTCCTACCAGCCCGGCAGTGGCACTTCATCTTTAGTTCCAGTGGTGGGGCAGGAGGTGGGTTGGAACCGAAGCCTGTAGTGATGAGCAGTATGTACCAGCTCTGAGAGCCCTTCTGGCTCCCAGCAATGAAAAATTTTATTTCTAAGATTAAGAGCTTCTACTTTTGCTAGTTTTCCCTAAATTATCACCTGTGAATTGAGACGTCTTATATTCATGAGCAGGAGCCCTGATATTTTGCTTACCATGCTTGTTAGTCACCTGAGAAATTGTGAAGGATATTTATGCAACGATTGATAAGTTCATGGTCCAGTTAAGACCTGTGCTACAGCTTGAGCAGCTATAGCTGGATAATAACACATCCCAGTTTGCCAGAGACAATTACTATGTGTGTTCCCAGAGTGATTATGAATAGCTTACTCCTTGCTTTCAAAAGTGTTCTAGTTTAGATGATTAATTATGTGGTCACCCTACTTATACTTGCATGTGAACTAGGACAGAGGCTCTAGGACATCCTGGATTTAGTCAGCTACAAAAGGCCTCCTTGGAATAAAGAAAACTTCAGAGTTTCAAGAGTTAGAGCTTATTGTTTAACAACTAGCTTTGATCCTTGTGACTCGTTTCAGTAGTATTGAAACAATTAAAAGAGTAGTACAGAATATCACTTAGCTAACCTTTACTACTTTATGAATAATATAAGCTAGTCTGGGATTAGAGCAAAGGCTGATGTGATTTTTGAAATTTGATAGTCTCATAAGAAAATTACTCTCGGAAGCTGAATTAGAATGAATCAAAGTCTATGTTCAAAAACTACATAATAGTTAAATATTTAATTTTGTTAGGAAATGATTATTACAAAACCTTAATTAAGCGGTCACTGAAAGATTTGAAAGTGGTGATTGTATTGAAGTACATCAATTTTTATTTTAAAACCTGGAAATGGACTGTTGCATAAGAACAAATAGAGTTATTGGAATGAGAATAAGTGGAAAGTAGTAGTTATACTATAGCTTTAATCAAATTGGTATTGGAAGAGATTAAGGGTCGTAAAGGTGAGTTTAGGTGTTCTTTTCTTTATCTTTTTCTTTTTTTCTATTTATTTATTTATTTATTTATTTATTTATTTATTTATTTAGAGTTACAATCCAGAAGCCATTCTATGTGCTGCTAGGGTAAACAACAAAGACAGAACTTGTTTATTAGTCTAAACTGCATGCTAAGGGGAAATTTCAAAAATCCTGGTTTGCACAGCTAGGTGAGAGGTTGTCCAGGTAAGCAGTTTAAGGCATTTACCATATCAGCAAATAGAAAAAAAAAATTCTTTTCAATTAAGGCAAATCAGAGGAAAAGCAAGATCATTATTATGTAAGAGTGATGTTTCTGGTTTACTCTGGTTTACTCACCCGGGAAATCCTGGGATTGTGGTAATCTTGGGAGGATCTAGTTGTCTTAAGGTTGATCGCTGTAGTCTCAAAACAGAATTAATGTTTGTTTACTTTAATGTTAAAAGTAAATGTCTTCCTGGAATGCCTTGTCTGGAATCTAAGTTGCAGGGAGGGGAAGGGAAGAATGGGAAAGGAAGAAGGGAATAAGTATTTCTTCTGAGTCTATATTCAGGCCTTGGGAAAGTAGAATCTAATCAAGAAAAGTCGGAGTGAAGTATATTCCTTTATAAGAGAAAGTTCAAAGGCACCCTCCCACCCCTCCCCCATGCTCAAATAAAAATAGCAGAAAAGGTTTAAAGGAGTTCATGAGCTGTTTATGTGACACACAGTACCTTCTTTTCTTACAGGGACATTCCAAAGCTCTTACAACACTCAAGTAGTGGGTGATTTCCAAGTCTGAGGGTTCTGGGGGGCTTTTGAGCAGTTTTTACTTATTTATTTTAAAATTAACTTTATTGATGTCAATTTTATACACAAAAAAATGCATCCATTTTCAGTGTATACTCAATGAGTCTTGACCATTAATAGAACTGTAAGTCCACCACAAACAAGATATAAAACATTTCTATCCCCCCCCAAAGTTCCTCTTTCACCCCTTTTGCAGTCAATTCACCTACATACACCAAGCCCCAGGCAACCACTGATGTGCTTTCTGTTAATATAGATTGCTTTGCCTGTCCTAAAATTCCATATAAATAAAATCATGCCAGTACAAATTCCTTTGTGTTTATTAGTTTCTTCAGTTTTTGAGATGTAAGTATCTTGTGGATATCAATAGTTGGTTCCTTTTTATTATTCCACAGTGGTCTGTTGCATGGATTTACCATAATTTGTTCGTCCGTTTACTAGGGGATGGACATTTCACTTGTTACAATATTAGCCAGTATGAAAACAGCCACTATAAACATTGTGGACAAATGTTTTCATTTCTTTTGGATAAATATCGAGGAGTAGATTTGCTGGTCATGTGGTACGTGAGTGTTAACTTTATGAAAAATGGCCACACTGTTTGCCAAAGTAGTTGTACCATCTTACAGTCCCATAGGCAATGTATGTGAATCACCAGCATTTGATACTGGCAGTCTTTTAAATTTTAGCCAGTGTATTGGCTGTAGTGTAATTTCAATGTGGTTTAAATTTGCACTTACTTCAAGATGAATTTTGAGCATTTTTTTCATGTACATATTGACCATTTGTATATTTCCTTTGTGTGAACTATTTAAATCTTGTACCTATTTTTATTTGGCTGTCTTTTTACTATTGAATTGTAAGAGTCCTTTATGCATTCTGGATATAACTACTCCATCAGATATCTGTGTCAAGAATATTTTCTCCTATTCTGTGGTTGGTGTTTTCACTTCCTTAACGGTGTTATTAAAAAAAGCATTCGTTTTTAATTTGGAGAAAGTCTTTTGTATCCATTTGCTCTTTTGTGATTAATACTTTTTATGTCCTGAGAATTATTTCTGTAACCCAAATATGCAAAGAGGTTTCCTATCTACTCTCCTTGAAATTATATAGTTTTAGCTTTCACATTTAGCTCTATGATCCAATTCAAGGTTTTTTGTGTGTGTGTGATGGGAGGTATGTGTTGAGGTTCTTTTGTTTTCATATGGATAACTACTTGTTCTAGTATTGTTTATTGAAAAGCTCTCCTTTCTTCCATATATTACCTTACCACCCTTGTTTTTAAAAAAATAACATATGGGAGTGCCTGGGTGGCTCAGTTGGTTAAGTGTCCGGCTTCAGCTCAGGTCATGATCTCGCAGTTGGTGAGTTCGAGCCCCATGCCGGGTTTTGGGTTGACAGCTCAGAGCCTGGAGCCTGCTTTGGATTCTGTGTCTCCCTCTCACCCTGCCCCTCCCCCACTCACACTCTGTGTGTCTCTCTCTCTCTCTCAAAAACAAACATTTAAAAAATTAAAAAAAAAATAAAGGTTAAAAAGAAAAAAATAGCATATGTGTGGGTCTATTATTTTTGGAATCTGGAATCTCTATCATGTTCTATTGTTATTTGTGTATCCTATGCCAATACTGCACTATTTTAATTACTATAGCTTTACAATAATCCTTGAGTCGTCCAACTTAGTTCTTATTTTTGAAAACTCTTTTGGTGATTCTTCCTTTGAATTTTCATACTAGTTTTAGAATGAGCTTATCTATACAAACACACACACACACACACACACACACACACAAACAAACAACACCAACCTGTATTAAATCTATAAATCAATTTACAATTGATAACATATTTGTTATCAATAGCAGTCTTGTCTCATCTAACCCATAAACATGGTGTATCTGTTCACTTAGCATCATCTATAATACATGACAATAATGTTTAGATTTCAGTGTATGATTCTTATTCATGTTTTGTTTTACTTATTTATTTATTTATAAAGTTTTATTGATTTAAGTAATCTCTACACTCTAGGTGGAGTTTGAACTCATGACCCTGAGGTCAAAAGTCGTGTGCTCTTCCGACTAAACCAGCCAGCCCCCGCTATTTTTGTTTATTTTATTCCATAGTGTTTCATATGCTGAATGATACTATAAATGATTATGATTTTATTTTCTGATTTTTCATTGCTACTATATTAAAATATAATTGATTTTTGTCTATTGACCTAGTATTCACTAACTTTGCTAAATTCATTTCTAATCCTAGAAGCTTTTTGGTACATTTCTTAGGATGTTCTCTGTATATAGTCATGCAATTAGTTAATAAAGGCAGTTTAATACTTCTTCTTTGATATTTAGGCTTTTGTTTATTTTTCTGGCTTTAATCACTAGCTTTGATCTCCAGTACAATGTTGAATTGGTAAAGGCAGAATTTCTTGCCTTGGTCCCCAAAATAGGCATATAGTTTTAACAGTAAGTATGCTGCTAGCTTTAGGTTTTTCATAGTTTGCCAAAAGCTTTTTAATCATTCATGGATGTTGGATTTTGTCAGTTTTTCTTGCATCTATTGAGATGATCATACAACTTTTCTTTTTTATTCTGTTATGAATTACACTTACTCTGTGGTGAATTACATTAATATTTGAATATTTGGATTCCTGAAATAAATCCCACTTGATCATAATTTATTATCATTTTTCTATATTGTTGAGTTTGATCTGCTAATATTTTGTTCAGATTTTTTGTGCCTACGTTCATGAAATCTGTAGCTTTCTTGTAAAATATTTGTCTGGCTTAGTTATGAAGTTAATACTAATGGTAAGATTAGTTGGGAAGTGTCCCTCTTTCTCTATTTTCTAAAGTTATTTGAGTAAAATTGTTACTTTTTTTTCTCCTTAAGTGTTTTATTGAATTGACCAGTAGAGTCACCTAGAAATTGAGTTTACTTTGTGGGAATATTTTTAATTAAGACTCTAATTTCTAAAAATAGTCATAGGTCTCTTCAGATTTTCCATTTTTTCCTTGAATCAGTTGGTAACTTTTTTATCTGTGTCTGTCAAGGAATTTGTCCATTTCATGTAAGTTGTCAAATTTAGTGGAATAAAATTGTTTATATTATTCTCTTAACATTCTTTTAATGTCTGTAGTATATGTACTACTGTCTTCTGTTTTATTCCTAAATTTATATTTGTGTCTTTTTAAAAATTGATCTAATTAGAGGTTTATCAATTATATTGTTCTTTTCCAACTAGCATTTGATTTCATTGACTTCTCTGCATTTTCTTTGTTATTTTACTGATCCTCAATTTTATCTATATATTTTTTCTACTTACTTTGGGTTTAATTTGATTTTCATTTTTTAGTTTCATAAGGATACCTGTATCAGCAATTTTAAGCCTTTATTATTTTCTATTATTATCATTTAAAGCTATAAAGTTTCCATCTAATTTCTGTTTTAGCTGCATCTCACAACTTTTGATATGCTGTGTTTTTATTACCGTTCAGTTCAAAATATCTTACTATTTCCCTTGTTTTTTTTTTTTTTTTTCTTGACTCAGTGTTCCAATGTTTGGAAGTTTTACAGATATATTATTATTGGTTTCTAATTTAATTTCATGTAGTCAGAGAACATAGCCTGTATGATTTCAATCACTTCAAAGTTTTTGGGAAGTATTATTATATGGTCCAGGAGAAGGTTCATCTTGATGAGTACTCCAAGCCATTTGAAAAAAAAAAAATGTGTACTATTTTATTGTTGAATGTCAACTAATGTCAATTAGCTCAAGTTGATCAGTAGTATTTGTTGGTCAGATACGATTTTCTTACTACTTTTTTCTATCAAGTATGTATATGAAAGTGCTGACTTCTTCAGCTTTAGCGATTAGATTTGCCTACTTCTTTTAGTTGTAGCAGTTATTGATTCATGTACTTTGAAGTGTGATTAAGTATATGCTTGTTTAGGATTGCTCAGAATTTTTGATGAATTACCTCCTTCATCTTTGTTCAACCTTCTTCATTATCACTTGTGATACTCTTTTTTTTAAAGTGCACTTTGTCTGAAATAAGTAGAGCTATCCCAACTTGGTTGGTTAATGTTTAGATGATGTTCTTTTCCCCCATCTTTCCATTTTCAACCTGTATATGTCTTTATGATGTAAGAGGGATTTGTGTGAAGAGCATATTGTGTGTTGCATTTAAATTTAATTTGACAATTTTCTCCTTTTAATTTGGGTATTTACATGATCTGAAAATAAATTATTATCAATTTTTCATTTTTATCAAACCTTCAAGGAAGGGATAATTAATTCCATGTTATTTAAGCTGCACCGACCATATCAGATCATAGAGAAGGAAAGATTCCAAATTATTTTATGAAGCCAGCACAATGCTAACAAAGAGCACCAAAAAAGAGAAAAAATTACTGGGGAAAAAATCTATTTTATGCATATTGGTGCAAAATTCATAAATTAATAACAAATAGAATCACCCAGTGTTATGTTAAAAATAATAAACAAAAATAACAAACACACAAGCAAGTGGGCTATTTTTAAAAAAGTAATAGGTGAAAAGAGGTGAAAAATCACATAAATAGCTCCATAAATGCTAAAAATCCCTTAAAGGAATTTGGTAAAATTCACCTTAGGTCCCTAATTTTAACTATTAAAGTTTTTTTTATCATTTTATTTTATTTCATCATGATAAGTATACTCTTTTTAAAAACTTATTTATTTATTTAATGTTTTTATCTATTTTTGAGACAGGGAGAGACAGAGCATGAGCAGGGGAGGGGCAGAGAGAGACACACACAGAATCCGAA